CCCAGCGATTCGTCTCAGAAAGTTTGTTTCAACCGCGTGTACCCTGGATCGAAGTTTCTCAGTCATGACTCACGACTGAAGGTAAGCACGGGGATGAAAATCAACTTGAACCCCGAAAGTTTAATCATCAGACTCAGCTTTGTTTTAGTCTCCGTGATCCGGGCTAGGCATGCGGAATGCTTCTGGCTACTCCAATCTGCCGGTTGATCTCTTTCATCCATTTCCCATCATCAGTAGACACGACCCCGGTGTACTTCAACTTCTTCAGCTGCTCCACTGCTTCTCCATTTATCTAAAGAGAACAGTGTGCAGGAGAACGAGAAAGCACTAGCTCTTTCGTTTTAGATATGTTCACACGCATGCCAGCCTCGTTGCAGTAGGATGGGAACCTATCCAGAGAGCGCTAGAGATCAGTTTCACAGGATGCAAACTGAACAAGGTCCTCCGCCAACAGCAACCTTCTTGTCTCCCCATTTTCTGCGCTAATACCCTCATCGCCCTGGCTGCGCCTAACTATGCTATCTTTGATAAACACAAACTGGAGAGGTGACAAAACGCAGCTACGGCAGAGACCAGCGCGAACAATAAATGGTTTCGGCTTAACGCCGTTTACTCTGACAGGACAGTTGCTGTAAACATGTAGTGATTTGATGGCCCGTAGTAACTGTCCATCAATCCAGTATGTTCTCAGGCAGGCTGATAGGTTGTGGTGCTGGATCCGGTCATGAGCTTTCTCCAGGTCCGCAAAGCACATGCACCGGATGAGCGAACTCCCACGGTTTCAGGGCGAATATGTGGTCAGATGTGTTTCGGCCGGACCGGAACCCCCTCCTGTAGTATTTTGGACTTAGTCATTCCGCGGAAACGTCCTTTCTAACACCTTTGCGTTGCTTCTCCCCGGGATGCTTCATATGGTGATGTACCGATAATTGGAGAATAAATAGATACTCCCTATGGCTACCTTTTTTGAACAACGAAACTGCAATCCCAGTTCTCCAGACCCCTTATTTCGTCCCGCTGTCTATCGCACTAAGTCGCAGCATGCCTAGTTCGTTTAATGTTTTGAGCATTTCAGGGCGGGTTTCATCAATTCCAGCAGCCTTTCCACTTTTAAGCTTTTCAAGGCTTGTGTAACTTCATTTACAGAATTAGTCATATGTAATAATAATAGTAATAGTTCCCCGCTGCTCTACAGGTGAGTCTTCGTACG